TAGTAAAATTAGTACTGCTGTAAGTTCCTGCCCTTTTAAGGTTCAAAGGACTTAGAAAAAGCAGCAGGACTTCTTTCTAGTACAGTGGTTCTCAACCTTTTCAATGCCACGACCCCCCAACCGGTTGTAAGTCGAGGACTACTCAACCAGTCGTAAGTCGAGGACTACTCAACTGGTGCAGCACCGTTTGCAGAATGGGACTCTTGGCGGGCTCAGCAGGGCAGAGACAGCCTGGACAATTCCTATTGGCTTTTGAAAGCCAATAGAATTAGACTCTATTCAAGAGAGTCTATTTTGTTGGCTTTCAAAAGCCAATAGAATAAAAGGGAGTAGCACAGCTAAGGAAAAGGGGGAAAAAAATGGCGGACTGCGTTGTTTGGCGACCCCCGTGAAATGGTCGTTCGACCCCAAATGGAACCACTGGTCTAGTAGCTCCATCGTGTAAAAAGGCCTTCCTCATTGTTTTTCCCCTTCTGGGAAACAAAAAATGCAAACACACACACACACACACACACACACACACACACACGGCTTTTTTTGCTCCCTTTAAGTGTCCATCATTGTCTGCATATTTCACGTGCCTCCGTCTCGATTTTCTTGGATATAATTGTTTCCTTGGCATTTCCCCTCGGCTGAACCCCGTCCAACCCTATGATTAATAGTTATGGTGAATAAATACATGCTAAATAGACTTCTCCTTTTTTCCCTACATCTTAGTAAATGGCCCATTTGTGAAGCTGCCAGTTCACGGGGCTGTTCTGAGTGGGATCAAGTTGCCCTTTTCTGCTGTGGTGAACCGTCCATTTGGACAGGGTGAGGTGGACCCAGTGAAGAATGACCACATGAGGTAAGTTGAGCCGAAGGAAGAGGTGCAAATCTTTTCTCCTGTCGTAGGCCAAATGTCACTATTGCGGTGAACCCATATCCTAAGGTACAGAATAACAGAATTAAGATTTGTGGACTTCCACTCCCAGAATTCTGGGAGTGGAAGACCACAGGTTTTTAAGTTGCTAAGTTTAGACACCCCTGGTTTAAATATTATTGAATGGCCAGGAATCGTTATGCCATATGTAATAATAATAACAAACAACAATAATAAAGCTGGAAGGGACCTTGGAGGTCATCTAGTCCAACTCCCTGCTCAGGCAGGAAACCCTACACCATTTCGGACAAATGGCTGTCCAGTCTCTTCTTAAAAACAACCAGTGTTGGAGCATTCACCGCTTCTGGAGGCAGGTTGTTCCACTGGTCAATTGTTCTAACTGTCAGGAAGTTTCTCCTTAGTTCTAGGTTGCTTCTCTCCTTGATCAGTTTCCATCCGTTGCTTCTTATCCTGCCTTCAGGTGCTTTGGAGAATAGCTTGACTCCCTCTTCTTTGGGGCAGCCCCTGAGATATTGGAAGACTGCTATCATGTCCCCCCTCGTCCTTCTCTTCGTTAAACTACACCAGTGGTTCTCAACCTTTCTAATGCCGCGACCCCATAATACAGTTCCCCATTTTGTGGTGACCCCCAACCACTTATACATCATTGGGTGCCAAGGGCATGGCCAAAGAAAAGGGGGAAAAAATGGCTAACAGCCTTGTTTGGCGACCCCCGTGAAATGGTCGTTCGACCCCAAATGGGGTCCCGACCCACAGGTTGAGAACCACTGAACTAGACATACCCAATTCCAGCAACCGTCCCTTATGTGGTTTAGCAAGTTCACCCCTTTGTTTTTGTTTAATGTCTAAAAAAAAAAGTGAGGCTTTTTTTTCCCTCATTATTATCGGAACCAAGAAGTTGTCAGAAAGGCAAAATCGGTCATCAATCTTCAATCTGCCTCCTCAGGAGATCTTTTCCCCCATCTGTGTTCTCTCTTCCTGGATCTTGCGTGGCTGCAAGGAAGGCAAATAAAAGTGCACCAGCATGGCTTTTTCTCTGAAATTGCTTTGTGTAAATGTCTGGAAAATGCTGATATTTTTGTTTCTATAAATAGCAGCCCCTCTTGCGTGCCGTATTTCATCTGTGCGGTTCCCTTAGCTGTATTTTGCTCTTGGTCGCCAGGACTCGGGGGGGTAGAATACAAATGAGCTTCTCCAGCTTAGAATTTACCCAGCAACTAAATCTGAGAGAGAGAGAGAGAGAGAGAGAGAGGGACATAGACAGAGAGAGAGAGAGAAAGAGTGAAAGGAAGAGAGACAGAAAAAGAGAGAAAAGAGAGAGGGGGAGAGAGAGAGAAAGAGAGAGAGAGAGACAGGTAGAGAGAAAGAAGAGAGAGAGAGAGACAGAAAAAGAGAGACAGGTAGAGAGAAAGAAGAGAGAAGTTCGCAAAAGGAGATCACATGACCCCGGGACACTGCGACCGTCGTAAATATGAGTCAGTTTGCCAAGCATGTGAATTTTGACCACGTGACCGTGGGGAGGGTGCAACGGTCGTAAGTGTGAAAAATGATCGTAAGTCGCTTTTTTCAGCGGTGTTGTAACTTTGAACAGCCACTAAACGAACTGTCTTAAATCAAGGACTACCTAGATATCCCTATTAATCCAGACATCTGCGCCAGAATATTTAATTCCTGTTAACATACTTTCCTTTCATAACGTAAAACCACAAGAGCTTCTATGCTCTTTAATTTTTCCCAGGTTAAGTTTCTGGCTCTGTACCATCCTGTATTTTTAAATCGCCTGTTCATCAAGATATAATTCTTCCCAATTTTCTTATTTTGCCTTTCAGCTTTTCTTGAAAAAATGTAAGTGAATTTAGTGTTCAGAAAGTCTGTGACAAAAGCATTCCTCTCTAGGCTAAAATAAATAAATAAATGAGACGGTAATTGATTTAATTGATAAAAGTAAATGGCTTGATCTGGATTACGGTAACGTCGTGCGTTCTTGCATGTGGATTAGAATGACTCACAATTATGGCAAGGTCATGTTTCCGTCACTCTAGAGGATAAAGAATATTCTTAAATATCTCTAGCGCAAACGAGCTGGAATTAAAACCTTCCCCACGGCTTGCCATAATGAGGAGTCACGAAAGTCCACACGCGAATACTCAGCAGGGTCTTTTCGCTTTGAATTTTTATCCCTGAACGTGTCTTCGGGGACATCCCTGAGAGACGAAGGTCAGAAAAGTCAAGATGGCAGCTATGACAACAGGACCGAAGTCCCAAAACTGGTCACTGGGTGGTTTTCCAGCCATGCAACTGGTGTACCATTTTGACCAGTTCAATCCATAGTAACGAGGCTTTTAGTGGTATATAGAGGCAACTGGAACCAGAACTTCTGTTGTTCTTGTTGGGATTAACGGGCAACTAGAAGACATCGTGGAAGATTATTTTTATATGTGATGAACGCTGCAAGACTATTCTGTGTGCAGAAATGGAGGCTTCTAGAAAGACCCAGAATAGAGAAATGGTTGGTGCAAATGATGGAGCTAGCAGAGATGGAAAAATTAACTCATTTGCTTGGGAAAAGATCAATTAACCTCTCAAAGAAAGTGAAATACAGCAAAGCCCTTGTTTTTGAAAACTGCCTGGTCATCCTGTTATTTTTTTTTCTCTTCCTTAAACTATGTCGCATCATTAGTTATGTATTATTCATATAGCAACAACAACGTAGAGTAATGCCTTTACACGACGAGGAGGCTCTTAGGTCTTCATCTTTAAATATGCAGCTTAATGGGAACCGTGTAAAATGGAAAGGGCATGAGTGGAAATTTGGAGGCAAACAAAATTTGGTTAAATGAGGGAGGGAGGGAGGGAGGGAGGGAGGGAGAGGAAGGAAGGAAGGAAGGAAGGAAGGAAGGAAGGAAGGAAGGAAGGAAAAGATATGAAAAGCAAGAAGAGGAGGTCCATTGAGGTCCTACTTTGGTCTCAGCCCAAACCCAAGTGTCCTCTGATCCATGTGCTCTAATGTAGGATCTGTTTTGTCTCATCAGATCCGGTAGCTCTAAACCGAGAGGGATCCACTTTCATTCATTCCCAACGGCACTCCCCCCCCCTTTTTTTGTTTAATTTTAGCTGTCTCCTCCTGTCAATAGGCTCAGAGCATTTTCAACTGTGATGTGATCTCACCTTGGAGTATTGCTTTAGGTTTCACACATTCGGACACCGACTGCCAGGAGTTGTCTCAGCTAGAAGTCTCCACATTTGGAACCAGAAGACCTCCAAGGTCCCTTCCAATTCCATTATTCCATTATTGCTAGAGTGGAATCAAGGGTGCAAATCTGACAGTGAGGACAATTAACCAGTGGAACAACTTGCATTCTGTTCTGTTCTATTCTATTCTATTCTAGTCTAGTCTAGTCTAGTCTAGTCTAGTCTAGTCTAGTCTAGTCTAGTCTAGTCTTATTCCATTCCATATTCTATTCTATTCTATTTTCATATTTCTATTCCATTCTATTCTATTCCCATTTCCTAATTTCTATTCTATTCTATTCTATTCTATTCTATTCTATTCCATTCCATTCCATTCCATTCCATTCCTTATTCTATTCTATTCTATTCTATTCCTTATTCTATTCTATTCTATTCTATTCTTCCCTATTCTATTCCATTCTATTCCCATTTCCTAATTTCTATTCTATTCCATTCCATTCCATTCCATTCCATATTCTATTCTATTCTATTCTATTCTATTCTATTCTATTCTATTCTATTCTATTCTATTCTATTCTATTCTATTCTATCCCAAATGTCCTCATCCCATTCTCAATCTTGCAGATGCACAACTAGAAGGGGGGGGGGGAGTGGCAGCACAGCTATGCTGCTGGGTTCTCATTTTCACCACCCCTTGCTTGGCTTGGCCTTCCTCCCTCACGGGGTGGGGGCAGAACTCCCTAAGTGAAAAGCGTCCCTCGTCAGGTTGGACTAGGGTTAAAAAAAAAAAAAACCCGGGCAGGCAGGCAGGCAGGCAGCGCCCCTTCTCCTTGCAACAAGCAAAGGGGCTCTTTCCACGGAGCCTCGGGGAAAGAGCTGAATAATTCAGGAGAAGGGGCGGGGGGGAGGCGGGGAGGCAGCAGCGCCGCCGCCACAGCCGCAGCAGCTGCAAGCAGCTGCAAACCCCTTTTTGCAAGAGCGACTCGCGGCTGCCGGCCTCGCTGCCGCCGCAGCCGCAGCTGAAAGCCGCCGCAGCCGCAGCTGAAAGCGCGAGCGAGGAGGGCGCGAGCTGGGAGCGGCTCGGCCGAGCCCCCTTTGCAGCATGCTGCCTGGCTCGCGAGCCACTCGCAGCAACTACCAGCACAGCAGCACCGGCGGCTGCAGCAGCCTCGCTCAGCCCGAAGCAGAGAAGGAGGCGCCGGCAGCGACGGCTGCAAGGAGGGCACCATGGCCGGCGGAGGCTCCTTTTGGCCGCGGCTGCTGCTGTTGCTGCTGGCCGGGGCGGCGTGCCTGGTGCAGCGCGCCCAGCTGAGGAAGCTGCTCCGCTGCCCGGCCACTTGCAGCTGCACCAAGGAGTCCGTCATCTGCGTGGGGTCGGCCAGCGTGCCGCGGAGCCTCGCCGGAGACATCAGCTCCTTGTAAGTGGCAGGCAGGGCGAGGCCAGGCGAGGCAGGGGATGCAAAGGGAAGGCAGCAACTTTGCACCCCCACCTGGGAAGGGAGGGGAGGGTGAGACGGGGGCTGCAAGGGGGGGGGCAGCAACTTTGCACACCCACCCCCGCGTGGAGAGGGAGGGGAGGGTGAGACGGGGGCTGCAAAGGGGGGCCCAGCAACTTTGCACCCCCACCCCCACCTGGGGAGGGAGGGGGGGTGAGACGGGGGCTGCAAAGGGGGGCCCAGCAACTTTGCACCCCCCCACCTGGGGAGGGAGGGGAGGGTGAGATGGGGGCTGCAAAGGGGGGGGCAGCAAGTTTGCACCTCCGCCCCCACCTGGGGAGGGAGGGGAGGGTGAGACGGGGGCTGCAAAGCGGGGGCAGCAACTTTGCACCCCCACCCCCCCCGGGGGAGGGAGGGGAGGGTGAGACGGGGGGCTAGAAAGGGGAGGCAGCAACTTTGCACCCCCACCCCCACCTGGGGAGGGAGGGAGGTGAGACGGGGGCTGCAAAGCGGGGGCAGCAACTTTGCACCCCCACCCCCACCTGGGGAGGGAGGGGGGATGAGACGAGGGCTGCAAAGGGGGGCCAGCAACTTTGCACCCCACCCCACCTGGGGAGGGAGGGGAGGGTGAGACGGGAGCTGCAAAGGGGGGGCCAGCAACTTTGTACTTCCGCCCCCACTTGGGGAGGGAGGGGAGGGTGAGACGGGGGCTGCAAAGGGGGGGCAGCAACTTTGCAGCCCCACCGCCACCTGGGGAGGGAGGGGAGGGTGAGACGGGGGCTGCAAAGGGGGGGCCAGCAACTTTGCACCCCCACCCCCACCTGGGGAGGGAGGGGAGGGTGAGACGGGGGCTGCAAAGGGGGGGCCAGCAACTTTGTACTTCCGCCCCCACCTGGGAAGGGAGGGGAGGGTGAGACGGGGCTGCAAAGGGGGGGCAGCAACTTTGCACCCCCACCCCCACTTGGGGAGAGAGGGGAAGGTGAGACGGGGGCTGCAAAGGGGGGGCAGCAACTTTGCACCTCCACCCCCGCGTAGGAAGGCAAAGGAGGGGAGGGGAGGGCGAGGCAGGGGCTGCAAAGGAAAGATTTTGCTTGCGCATGCACACACACACACACACACACTTGTGCGTGGGGAGGTGAGGAAGAGGAGCCAGCAGGATTGGGTCCCCTGGATTCTTGGGCTCCAAAGGGCTTTCCATCTTCCTCTCCCTCAGGTGATGGGGCGGCCGGTGGGGGCGCAGGGCAGCTCCAGAAAAATCCCTGCCTGCTCGCAAAGGCCAGGGGCGTTCAAATGCTTCCGTATTTTAGAACTAAAAAGGCCCCTTTTAAGCGGAAAAACTTTAGCTGAAGAAGTTTTCAGCCAAAAAAACAAAACCCTAACACAATCCTGGGTTGCGTAAACAGAGGTGTGGGATCAGAATCACGGGAAGCATTAGTACCGCTTTAGAAAGCCTTAGTGAGGCCACCCCTGGAATATACTGCATCCAGCTTTGCTCACCACGTTACTAAAAAGGTGTTGAGATTTTGGAAAAAGAGCAGAGAAGAGCAACTAGGATGATTAAGGGACTGGAGGCTAAAACATACAAGGAACAGTTGCTGGAATTGGGTATGTCTAGTTTAATGAAAGGAAGGAGTAGGGGTGACATGATGGCAGTCTTCCAATATCTCAGGGGCTGCCCCAAAGAAGGGGGAGTCAAGCTATTTTCCAAAGCGCCTGAAGGCAGGACAAGAAGCTATGGGTGGAAACTAATCAAGGAGAGAAGCAACCTAGAACTAAGGAGAAACTTCCTGACAGCGAGAACAATTAACCAGTGGAACTCCTTGCCTCCAGAAGTTGTGAATGCTCCAACACTGGAAGTTTTCTAGAAGAGACTGGGCAGCCGTTTGTCTGAAATGGTGTGGGGTTTCCTGCCTGAGCAGGGGGTTGGATTATTCCATTAACTGGAAGCACCAGGCTGGGGAAGTTACGGTAATAAGTTCTGAGTTGGGCTGCTGCTGATTTTTCTCTCCTGCTGCCTCTTTCTAGGAGCCTGGTCAATGGAACTTTTCCCGAAATAAAAGAGAGAATGTTTTCCCACCTGCCGTCCTTGCAGTTGCTGTAAGTATTCAGAAGGTGGATACGTTTGGCTTGTTCTCTTCACAGCATGGTGGGAAAGGTTTAGAAGACAATGCCGTCCTTAGGGATAGATATGTGTGTCTGTGTGTGTGTATTTCCTTTCCTCTCCCACTATATATATATATATATATATATATATATATATATATATATATATATATATATATATATATATATTTTCTGAGGTTTTTGCGGGTGTTTGTATGTAGGTCTTTGGTTATTCGTGTTTTCTCCCACGTCAAATTGGAAGTGTCTTGACGACGTTTCGATGAAGTCTCATTCGTCATCTTCAGGCTGGTGTTTCAGCTTCGTGATTCGAGGAGCAATGTGCTTCGTGCTTCGAGGCACATTGCTCCTCGAAGCACGAAGCTGAAAACACCAGCCTGAAGATGACGAATGGGATTTCGTTGAAACGTCGCCAAGACACTTCCAATTTTACGCGGGAGAAAACCCGAATAACCAAAGACTTACACACACACACACACACACACACACACACACACATATATATATAACAGCAGTGATTCATTTAATGAACTGTGGCGAGAAAGATCATAAGACGGAGCAGAGCCACCTTAACACATATCCCCCTTGGCAACAGAAATTTATACCTGTGTTAAGATAGGAAAGATGAGTCACGGTGTGTTTTTTTATATCTCAAAGACTTCCCCTGTCTTGCTAATACTTTTTATCACGTTCCAGCGCAGCCTTTGGTGCCAACTTCAGATATTTTGGTTCTAGAAGTCCCAAAATTCTTCAGAAGCTCAGCCACGGGCCAAGTCCCAAAGAGATTCTGGCAGCAGCTGGCCCTTCATATCTGTGGAAGCTTCTCTAATCAGGAGTCCAAAATGGGTCCTATACCAAAAAAAAAAAAGCAGGATTGATTACTAACAGGCCACTCTAACTGTACAGATTGTCTTTGACTTACAACAGTTTAGTGACCGTTCGAAGTTACAACGGCACCCAAAGAGTGAGCTTATGACCGTTGTTCACAGTTACGACCCTCAGCAGCATCCCCGTGATCATGTGATCAAAATTCAGACGCTTGCCAACTGACTCGTACTTGTGACGGTGGCACTGTCCCAAGGTCACGTGATCCCCTTTTCTGACAAGCAAAGCCTATGGGGAAGCCGGATGCACTTAACAACCAGGTTACTAAATGTGTAGGGAGATTGTCAATTATCCAGGTCCTGGTTGTCCCAAAGCGGCTTTTTCAGAGGGCAACTGGACTTCCTTTTTTTTTCTTTGAAGACCTTTCGCTTCTCAACCCAGAAGCTTCTTCAGCTCTGACTGGAGGGTGGGGGAAAAGAAGGATTTATACTCCTTGCAGAAAACTAGTCATTTGCCTTGTTTTAGAAAGTCGTTGAGGCCACTTGGGGGTTTGTCTGTGTTCTCAGGGTCACCTGAGTGGTGCAAATGGATGTGGGGGGTTCTTAGGATTGTGTTCCACACCCATTTGCATCACTCAGCTGACCCTGAGGACACAGATAAACCCCCAAGTGGCCTCAACGACTCTCTAAAAGAAGGCAAATGACCAGCTGTCTGCAAGAAGTATAAATCCTTCCATTCCTCCATCCTCCAGTCAGAGCTGAAGAAGCTTCTGGGATGAGAAGTGAAACATCTTCAGAGAAAACACCTTTGATACAACCAAGTTGCTAACTTATCAACTGCAGAGATTCCCTTAGCAACTGTGGCAAGAACGGTCATAAAATGGGGCAAAACTCACTTCACAACGGTGTCAGAAATTTTGAGCTCCATTGTGGTAAGTTGAGGATCACCTATAGTGCTGTGTTTTAAGTTATGTTTTCTTTTTAAACTTTGAGATCTGCATTCCCGTTTTTTTTTTTAAAGGCTGCTGAATTCTAACTCGTTTACTGTCATAAGGGACGACGCCTTCAGTGGGCTTTTTCATCTGGAGTACCTGTAAGTCCACCTGCTTTTATTACGTCACATGAAGATTTAAAGGAATGAAGGTTTTGTGTGGGATTGTTTACAAGTAGCGACAGAAAACGTTTCTGCTTGATCGCTACTTGTGCCATGCCACAAATTCTGCCTTCTGCTGAAATTTGTGGCTGGGTGTTGCCTCTTTGCAACCCCAACATCCTGACGCTTCACATCTGCAGATGTTCTGGTGTCTGTGTGTCATGTGTGTGTGTGAGAGAGCAAGGATAGGGTCTTCTAATCCAGGGGTTCCCAATCCCTGGCCCACTACCGGCCCTTGAGCCATTTGGAACCAGGCCACGGAAGTGGCAGGTGAGCAACTGTTTGTGTGCATCTCCACTCGCGCAAGCAGCAAGCAAGGGAATGTGTGCACAATTCGTTTGCACAAGCAATATGTGTGAATAAAATAATAGAATAGAATAGATTAGAATTAGAAATAGTGAAGAAGAAAAGAGAATAGAATAAATGAAGAATAGAGAATAGAGTAAGAATAGAATAGAAATGAATAGAATAGAATAGAATAGAAATAGAGAAGAATAGAATAAGAATAGAATAGAAATAGAAATAAATAGAATAAGAATAGAATAGAATAGAATGTGAAGAAGAGAAGAGAACAGAATAGAGAATAGAATAAGAATAGAATAGGATAGATATCTTTATTGTTATTGTATAACTCACAACAAAATTAAGTGCTGTCCACAGTGCACACTACACACAAGTAAAAACCACAAATAAGAACATACATTATACACATATCCTTCACATTGTGCTGCCCTGTGTATATGTACATGACGTATCCATGTGTGCATTATCTATATCTATGGGTAGCTATATACTTTCTTTTGAGATCAGGCAACAGAATTTCATTTTTAATGCGAGCCAGGCTGCCCACAGTAAACAAAAATGACAATAAAAGTTATCTTAATCTACTTTATCTATCCCAAAGGGTCAGTAATTCTCCTCCTTTACATTTTCCCTGTTCTTTGCTCTTGAACATCCTGCAGTTTTATTGGTTTTTTTTTCCTTTTTTTTTCTTTAACCTCTTCTCTTTTTATGCCTCTTTATCCCTCTGCACAGATTTATTGAAGGAAATAAAATTGAAACCATTTCGAGGAACGCTTTTCGTGGTCTTCGTGACTTGACTCATCTGTAAGTTGTTGTTTTTAATGCTAATTTATTTCTTGCTTAAAACGGGACATGCTGTTACGTTCACGTATATGTAGTCCCCAATTTAACGCGGCTTGATGACCGTTGGAAGTGACAAAACTGACTTACGACCGTTTTTTCACACTTAATGACCCTCGCAGTTTCCCCACAGTCACCTGATCCAAACTTGGATGTGCTTGGCAGCTGATTCATATTTATGACGGTCGCAGCGTCCCCAGGGTCACGTGATAACCTCCTGACCAGCAAAGTTCAAGGGGGGGGGGGAAGCTGGATTGCTTAACAACCAAGTTACTAACTTCTCAGCTGAAGTGATTCTAACAACTGTGGCCAAAAAGCTTGCAAAATGGGACAAAATGCGCTTAACAAATGTTTCAGTTAGCCACATACATTTTGGGCTCAATTGCGGCTGTAATGCAAGGACTTCACCTGTATTACCTGGGCTGGGTTTGTGCAGGGGTAGGCAACCTTGGCTCTTTTATGGCTCGTGGACTTCAAGTCCCAGAATTCCTGAGCCAACATGGCTCACTTTTCCCCTCGGGACAGCTGGAATATATATATCCATCCCAGTTTCGGGCCATCTGGAATGTTTGGGATTTCTGTCCCCCTTTAAAAGTTGTTACTAATTTTGTCCATAAATCCTCTTATTTTCTACATCACACTGGGACTGGAGAACCCGCCAATGGTTCTCATTGATAATAACATCCCTGTGAGCGTGACTGAATTCAGTTTCTATCTACACAGCCTCAATGGTTTTCAAAATTATTGCAACGTCTAACTTTGCTTTTTCCAGCTCTCTCGCCAATAACCAGATTAAAGCTTTGCCAAGGGACATCTTTAGCGATTTGGATTCTCTGATCGAACTGTAAGTAAATTGCAATCCGTGTTGTTGTTGCTTTGTGGGTTTTAACCCTGCTCTCAGCATTCAGAATTTTTATTTTAGCTGTTTGGACTTGAAACAAACAAGGAGTTTGATTCTTCTCATCCATTGGCTGAGTCTGTGCTTGATTTGAATGCTTTTCCTTTGATTAATGTACTTATTTGAAATATATCAATATTGCTAGGATGTACCATATCATCCCCATGGTCATGGGATCAGCATTTGGATACTTGGCAACTGCCTTCTTGTGGCAAATAAATAACATCCACAACAGAAAGCACTTTTATTAATTAAGCTTCATCGACGAACAACGTCTTTAAAGATCCCTTCCTGTTGCTTCTTATTTCTTGTCCACTGTAAAATCTCCACCGTTTTCCGTATTTCTAAATGAAAACTTACAAGGATTTGTTGACGTTAGATTCCAACGCCTTTGCGAGGAAAAACGCTTTTATTTTTTAATGTGTTCTCAGAGACTTGAGGGGAAACAAGTTTGAGTGCGACTGCAAAGCCAAGTGGCTGTTTTTGTGGTTAAAGATGACAAACTCCACCGTTTCCGAAGTCCTGTGTGTTGGTCCGGCAGAATTTCAAGACAAGAAATTAAATGATGCCTTGAGCTTTGACGATGAATGCACCACTACAGGTACCAGGGAAACGAGACCTTGTGTTGCAATTTAGTCATAAATGAATGTTTGACTTTCCACGGGGCCCTTTTGTATTTTGGGCACGGTAGTATAAATGCGCTATTGTTTTAAATTGTCACATTATTCTTCACGTGACTACTGATTGCAGATTAATCAAAAGGATGATATTAAGAGGTGATTGGCTGAAGGTCTTGTGATGGGTCAGGTGTGAGTCATCAAAGAGGCTGGTGATGGGTCTTGTGATGGGGAGGTCAGGGTCATTGGAGGGTGTGAATTATCTTAGGCAAAGTTCAGAAATGAAAGGATTGGGAATAAAAAATGAAAAATATAAATTACAAGCATTTGCAGATGATTTGGTCTTTATACTAGAACAGGGGTAGGCCACCTTGGCTCTTTTATGACTGGTGGACTTCAACTCCCAGAATTCCTGAGCCAGCCATGCTGAGGGGAAAGGGAGAGGTTGCCAAGCTGAGCCATGCTGGTTCAGGAATTCTGGGAGTTGAAGTCCAGAAGTCATAAAGCAGCCTAGGTCTAGACCAGGGGTAGGCAACCTTGGCTCTTTTATGACTGGTGGACTTCAACTCCCAGAATTCCTGAGTCAGCCGTGCTGAAGGGAAAGGGAGAGGTTTCCATGCTGGCTCAGAAATTCTGGGAGTTGAAGTCCACGAGTCATAAAAGAGCCAAGGTTGCCTACCCCTGCCCTAAACTCTACTGAAGCTGTTTTACCCAACCTGGTAATGAAGCATTTGGAAACCAACCCATAATAAGCTCAGAGACCCAACCTCCACCCTCATCCTCCACCCGAACTACAGATATTCGCCACTATTTCCAATAAGCGATCAACAACTTCCTGTATCCTGCCGAGTTCCATGGTAACATGTCTGTTTTCAATTAAATATGATTACAGATTTTGTTGTCCATCAGATTTTGCCCTATCAATCAGTGTCGATCGACACATTCAACTCTAACAACGATGTCTATGTTGCCATCGCCCAACCCAGTATGGAAAACTGCATGGTGCTAGAATGGGACCACATCGAGAAGAACTTCAGGAGTTACGACAACATCACCGGTAAAGCCAAATGCCTCCGTCTTAAGTGTAAATGCGTACTTTGGGGTTATGGGAAGGTTGTTTTGAGGATTTGGAAAAGTCGCCCTATTAGGGGGTCTCTCAGGAAATTCAGATGGGACAAATTAAAATTAAAATCCATTCCCCACCACCCAGTCAGAGCCGAAGAAGCTTCTGGGATGAGAAGCGAAACGTCGTCAGAAAAAAACAAGAAAGTCCAGTTGCCTCGTGAAAAAAAAAAAGCACCTTTGGAACGAGTAGGTACACGGTGTGTATTTGGCTAACATTATTCCTCTGTTTGCGTCAACAGGTCAGTCCATCGTGGGTTGCAAAGCCATCTTGATCGACGATCAAGTTTTTGTGGTGGTGGCCCAGCTCTTTGGCGGGTCCCACATTTATAAGTACGAGGAAAGCTGGACCAAGTTTGTCAAGTTCCAGGATATCGAAGTTTCCCGCATCTCCAAGCCGAACGACATCGAACTCTTTCAGATAGAGAGCGAAACCTTCTTTGTCATTGCCGACAGTTCGAAAGCCGGACTGACCACCGTTTATAAGTGGAACAACAAAGGGTTCTACTCCTACCAGTCTCTCCACGAGTGGTTCCGGGACACGGATGCTGAGTTTGTGGACATAGAGGGGAAATCTCATTTGATCCTGTCCAGTCGCTCGCAGATCCCTATTATCCTCCAGTGGAACAAGAATTCCAGAAAGTTCCTCCCGCACGGCGAGATAGCCAACATGGAAGACGTGTTGGCTGTGAAAAGTTTCCGGATACAGGACAGCCTGTATATCACGCTCACCAGATTTATTGGCGATTCCCGAGTGATGAAATGGAACAGCAAACAATTTGTGGAGATCCAGGCTCTCCCGTCCCGCGGGGCCATGATCCTGCAGCCTTTCTCCTTTAAGGGCCATCATTACCTTGCTCTGGGAAGTGACTACACCTTCTCCCAGATATTCCAGTGGGACGCCGAGAAAAGCCTCTTCCAAATATTTAAGGAGATCTACGTGCAGGCACCTCGCTCCTTCACCGCCGTGTCAACGGACAGGCGAGATTTTTTCTTCGCTTCCAGCTTCAAAGGCCACACGCAAATATTTGAACACATCCTTGTGGACTTGAGTTTATGAAACAGCCGTGAGTGTGGGGACTCGTGTAGGAGGGTGACTTTGGCCTGAAAGCAAAAGAGAAAGGACAGATTATTCTCTTTGGATAGCTAGGCAGTATCTGTGACATTATTCAGCAAGTTTGTTTTTTTTTTTAACTTTTTAGAAGTTTGCCTATTTAATCAGGGAATGCATTAACTTGGTTAAGTGCATGCCGTGCCAATTTTAACCTTGACGAGAGGTGTTTTTAAAGCCTACTCTTGCTCAAAGACACTGTGCAAGGCATTCGTTTTAAAAATGATGCAGAACTGAAAGGAGGAAGTGGAACGGCTGAGAAAGTGGGATGAAACAAATCAATAGGAGAAGCTGCAGTCGTGACTCTGCTAGGGACAAAAAAAAAAAAAAGATTGTTTTTTCTTTTCTTCAGGACATTTAGGTTGAAAGCAGTTCCTTCTGCCGATTTGGGATTTGCAACCATTAGCGTCGTGATGAGAAAGCATCTCTCAGCAGGATGAAGTAGTTCTGTTTCTGGACCCTGGGAAATTAAGGGGCAGAGGACTCTCTAGGTGGCATTCTTACATTCTGGTTTGGAGAAAGGAGCTGATAATTCCTTTTGAATTGCCAGTCAAAAGGGATTGGTAAAAAGGGGAGGGAGGGGGGAAGGGAGGAGGAGAAGGGAGGGGGGAAGGGAGGAGGAGAAGGAAGGGCGAGGAGGAGGAGGAAGGGGAAAGGGAAAGGAGAGAAGAAGAAGGAGAAGAAAGAAAAAGGAAGAAAAGCAGGAGGAGAAGGAGAAAAGAAGAAGAAGAAGAAGAAGAAGAAGAAGAAGAAGAAGAAGAAGAAGAAGAAGAAGAAGAAGAAGAAGAAGAAGAAGAAGAAGAAGAAGAAGAGGAGGAGGAGGAGGAGGAGGAGGAGGAGGAGGAAGAGGAGGAGAGGGGATGGGGAGGAGGAGGAAGAAGAGGAAAAGAAGACAAAGAAGAAGACAAGAAGACGAAGAAGAAGACTACTCATTCTCCATTAATTAATGTTCTCTCCCCAGTTAGCTAGTAGATAAGAGACTTGCAGTCAATAGTCCATCAAAAGAAATACGGTAACATTGATTGCTAAATTAGATTTTATCAGACGTTTATAGCTGCTGAAGATGAATGCCTCTTTAATAAATGACAGCAAAAGAACAGGCATCTGACCTGACAGCCATGCATTCAGCCTTTCCTTCTCCCAATTATTTTGTGCCCTGTTCTCTTACCTGAGTGTTAGATACAGGCAAGCTTAAATTCATGATTTAAAATTTTGATCACAGTGATAAAGATGTACGCATTCCTCTAAAAGGTCTGGGAAATAATAGCTCCTTTGACTGAAACCCATTCTCCTCTCTTTCCAAAATTGTGCATTGACAACGATAAATAAATATCTGATAACAGAGAATGGACTTGAAGGCGATTTGATTGAGTTGAATTTGCAGGTCATGTGGATTGATCCGAAAGTTGATTTGAATTATTGAAGTAAATCGGTTGCCTTCTAATTGATTTCAATTATTTTCAGCACTTAGGTCTATCGATGGAAACTGGATGCAGAAATCCAGCTTGACTTTGACGTTTTAAATTGATTTATGCATAAATTACACACGGTCCTACCATTTGGATATGTGTGTGTGTGTGTGTGTAATTGGTCAATTGGGTTGCTTACCTATTTTATTCACCGCAACCTTGAAAAATTGGCTCGCACAAATGTGGCAGACATGATTGTTGCAAAAAAAAAAAAAACCAAACCAACAGCTTCTGATTGCTTTTATTGCATTAGAACAATAAAATTCAGAGCTTTGTGACATTCGAGGATTTAGTAGGAGAGAAGTCTTATTATAATTTTTTGAAATGACCCGGTCGGTTATTTTTTTACCAACTCATGTATTTCCAAACAAAAAATGAATCCTTATTATGGACATTATCAACGATAATGAGAGCATATTAACTTGTCCAGACCCATCCTTAAAAGGCTTTACAATAATAAATGTATAGTCTAAAATGCATTACCAAAATAAATAACAATATCTATGTGCTTTGCACTGTCCAAGCTTAAGACAATTCTTGGTTACAGACATCTGCATCAATCTACATCTCTTTTTAAGACCTAAAAAACAGAACGAGTGATACTTATCCACACAGTATTCAGTTTTGTGGTCTTTGCAACACAATGTTGTCTATTTTCCAAAAACCAGCTAGTCTCTGCAGGGATCCTGCTTCCTCCTTGCTAACAGTGGCGAATTAAGCAATTCTACACTCCTGCCCATAATGTCAGCAAAATAACGTTGTGCTTCTGAGCACCAAATCATATTTTCTCCTTAGGCTGAAACCTTCTCAGTTCCTTCTTTATTCCCAAGAATAGGACAACCAGCTTTGGACTTAAGGAAGCATCTCTTACAGTCGTCCCCATCTCCTGTCCTTCTCAACCCTCTGTTATATAAGATGTCTGCCGCTTGGGAACCCCTTTCTTGCTTACCTCTGTCCATCTGAGACAGTGGTTCTCAACCTTTTTAATGCCGCGACACCCAACCGGTCGTAAGTTGAGGACTACTCAACTGGTGCAACACCGTTTGCAGAATGAGACTTTTGGCGGGCTCAGCAGGGCAGAGACAGCCTGGACAATTCCTATTGGCTTTTGAAAGCCAATAGAATTAGACTCTATTCAAGAGAGTCTATTCTATTGGCTTTCAAAAGCCAATAGAATAAAAGGGAGTAGCACAGCTAAGGAAAAAGGGGGAAAAAATGGCGGACTGCATTGTTTGGCGACCCCCGTGAAATGGTCGTTCGACCCCAAATGGGGTCCCGACCCACAGGTTGAGAACCACTGATCTGAGACCTACTGCTGAAAAGTTTGCAACTTGGTGTTAAATGAAGCACTAAAACGTTAGCAGTTGGTCACCATTGGGTTACCACCAAAAACGATGCTCTCCCGTGATTCAGGAGGCAGATTTCAAGCAGGAAATGTTACAGATGGCAAAACATAGGCCATAACCTTCATTGATCAAAACTGGGCTGGCTTTTGCAGGACGAGAAGGCTTTGGCATGGCTGGCTCAAAAACAAAACACAACACAACGTGGTATGTCCATCTTGACAAGCAAGACTGGCTTCAGTTCAAGCTATATAGTGCAGCTGTCCTGTAGAGCAATGCTGAAGGTACCACACAAATGGTTGGGTGGGAATTAGGACTCAAAATACTAGTTTAGATACTTGGATACGTTCTTGTACTGCAGGAATCCAGGAGTTTTAAGAGTTCACTCTTCAGATTTAGTGGCAGGGGATGTTCTGACAGGCTGATCATGGTCCAGAGACAAAGCTATGAAATGATAGAGACTTGAAGAATTGGGAATGGGACAGGAATCTTCACAAATGACGTTCAATTGATTGTTTTCCCTGCAATCTAAAGGAGAGATGTTGGCCTCTCACCGGAAAAGTTCAGGAGATGTCAGTCTTCAGCTCCATTTCTTAGGTCCATAAAAGACACGATCTCCCTCAATAACTCTTCACTGTTGGTATCATTCCATAATTTTCCAATGCAGGAAAAACTTCTAATTCTAACTATTCATTGAAAGACAGAAGAAACCTAGTTTAACAATAAAACCCATGACTTGGTGGGTTCCCGTGTGTTCGAGAAGAGACTAAGCAGCCATGCCTTGGTAAGGCCACACTTGGAATACTGCACCCTGTTTTGATCACCATGATGTAAAAAAGATGCTGAGACTAGAAGAAGTACAGAGAAGAGCAACAAAGATTATTAGAGGACTGCAGGCTAAAACATATAAGGATTGGTTGCTGGAATTGAGTATGTCTAGTTTAATGAAGAGAAGGACGAGGGGGGACATGGTAGCAGTGTTCCAATATCTCAGGGGTTGCCCACAAAGAAGAGGGGGGGTCAACCTATTTTCCAAAGCAACACAAGATGATAGATAGATAGATAGATAGATAGATAGGATAGATGGAGATAGATAGATAGATAGATAGATAGATAGATAGATAGATAGATAGATAGATAGATAGATTTGATGGATGGATAGATAGATAGGATAGTGATGATGGATGGATGGATGGATGGATGGATGGATGGATGGATGGATGGATGGATAGATAGGATAGTGATGAGAGAAAGATATCTCTCTTATGTCTCTTGCTATCTCACTCTATCAGTCTATCTATACATACACACACTGGAACGAGTGCAGAGAAGAGAAACTGGAGGCTAAAACATATAAGGAATGGTTGTTGGAATTGGGCATGTCTAGTTTAATGAAGAGAAGGAATGGGGATGAAATGATAACAGACTTCCAATATCTCAGGGGTTGCCACAAAGAAGAGGTGATCAAGCTATTCTCCAAAGTACCTGAAGGCCAGATGAGACGCAACGGATGGAAACTAACCAAAGAGAGAAGCAACCTGGAACTAAGGAGGAATTTCCTGACAGAACAATCAATCTGTGGAACTGCTTGTCTTTGGAAATCACTGGAGGGTTTTGAAGAAGAGACTGGGCAGTCATTTGTCTGAAATGGTCTAGGGTCTCCTGCTTGAGCAGGGGGTTGCACTAGAAGACCCCCCCCCCAAGGTCCCTTCCAACTCTGTTACTCTGATATACAGTGTACGTGTGTGTGTTTATATACATAGACATTATAGACATAGACAAAGAGATGCATACAGCACACACAAAAAAAGAGAGTGGTCTTGGATCTGATGTTGAGTTTCTTGTTTCAAGAAAATTGTTCTCTTCCCTTTCCTCCAAACTCTAGGTTTCTAGGGCAAGCTTTGAGCAACCCTATTCATCGGGCAGATGTCAGATTAATCAACTGTAATGTTCGGTTGATCTCATTTGGACCAGTGTCTTGCCACTGTGACACACCTAGTTAATGGAACTTACATACAGTCACCACGTTGTTATCTGTAGTCAGTTAATGAAAAATAAACTACACCCCTATCCAGGTGAGCTGTCCATCTCTCACCACCCTTCTCCCCAAAGCAATACAGAATAGAATACAGAATAACAAGAGTTGGAAGGGACCTTGGAGGTCATCTAGTCCAACCCCCTGCTCAAGCAGGAGACCCTATATACCGTTTCAGACAAATGGTTGTCCAATTTCGTCTTGAGAACCTGCAGCGATGGAGCACCCACAACATCTGGAGGCAAGTCGTTCCACTGGTTCATTGTTCTCGCTGTCGGGAAATTTCTCCTTGGTTCTAGGCTGCTTCTCTCCTTGATCCTGGTTTGTACCCCACTATAATGAAGTTGAATGATTGGGGACAGGAGAGGCATAAAGGAACAGCCAAACGATCTTAGTTGGAATCTGCCCACAGGGTCTTCGGCTATGCCATGAGTTCCATGGACCATACCTCTCCCGACAGCAGATACTATACACTGAGCATGGGTTGGAAAAAGAGGGAGAGCTGTTTTGTTAAACAAGTACATTTTTTTTTTTTGTCTAAGGGGGCATTCTTTCCTCCCCCACCCATTAGAGCTGAAGATAATTTGATTTATTGGCCTTATATAACATCTTCTGTTTAGATGTCGGGTTTTTTTTTTTGTTGTTGTTGTTGTTTTCCACAATGTTCTATCCCAAACAAGAGCTTGCTAATTTATTTGGGAACATTTGAAAACCTGAATTC